TGTGTCGTAGCGTGTGTCCATAAATGGAAGAGGTACTCCTAGTAGGGACAGACAGGGAACAGACAAGACAGGGACAGATGGGGAAGATGGTCGTGGCCTGCTCGCGGCTACTCGTGGCCACTGCTCATATCTATGTATCAGGGATTCCTACAGGCTAGCCAGGTATCATCACTCTAGCCAGGTACTCGTACCCGTTATGGAGTGGTATAAAGTACAGATATCACACACGCACGCACTTGACACGCACCAAAAAGACAGGCACCGAGAGAAAAGGAAGGAGGAAGAGGGGGGGGGGGGGGATGGAAAAAAAGAAGGGAAAAAAAGGAAGAAAGAGACGGCAAGCTTAATACCCTCTTAGCAGCTAGTATTGCTCCGTACAGATAGATACAGTCACCAGTCCCCCCCCCCCCCACTTGAATCCCAACGCCTCTACGCGTTCTGTCGCGACATATTTGTGGCGTCTGGGGGGCGTGTGTGACGCATTTGTTTATTATTATTCCAAATCAGGTTTAGCTCTCGTCAGGGGTGAAGCGCGTTGCATCATCCCTGTCACGCGACGGATTCGTTTGACTCTCCTCGACTCTGTTTTTTTTTTTTTGCTCTCTCATCGCTCTTGCTCTCTCCATCTCTCTCTGCATTGTCATATGTCTGTGTGGCTGTGCGTGACCTTGTCCCGTCGACCTGTCCTTCTTTTTCTTTCTTTCTCTTCTTTCTTTCTTTTTCCTTTCTCTCTCATCCTTATCCAGCCAATGTCCGAAACTGCCTCTCTCTCTCTCTCTCTCTCTCTCTTCATAGTCGCTTCCAAGACACGGCTCGTACGGTGATGCTCGTATGTTTGTTTACATCCAACCCGAGAGGATGGCGCTAGTGGTCAATAATATCACATCTTACACGGTACGGAATACGGATACTAATAGGTCTATTGCCACCATTACATATGATAATGCTCCGTACATGTACGAGTAGATCGCTCTATCTGGTCGTGATGATAGATGATAGTCGTAGTAATACTGGCTAGCTGGTACGTATTCATATGTACTTGGGACTGACACTGACACGGCGAATTGGCCGTATTATTATTACTACTCATACTTGGTGTGTCTAGGAGGATATAATATAGACGGAGTAGATGTTTAATCGCGACTATAGATTCCTCATGGATTTAAATAATATATATACATATATATATATGTATATCCTCGTAAAGAGGATATTTCTGTTTACAGATACAAAGTATCTACTCCGTAATACCCGCAGACCTGTAGCGGCCCCTCCTCCCCGCCCACTCGTGCTAAGCTACTCTCGACTCTCTCGACACTCTGCCAGAGTCCCCAAAGTCCCTGCTTCCTGCTACGGTGCTACGTACGTGGTGGTGATACGTGGTGAGAGTACGGAGTAGGTACGGAGTAGGTACGGAGTAATACAGCTCACAAGCTCGTGTACGATATGGACCCATCCAGTACGGGTACGTGTCATGGACGGGAAATCTCTGACTATCCCCGTGACTGGTAACTATCCCCTGACTCTACGTCTCTCCCCCCTCTGGCCCCTGAGCAGTCAGTCCCTCTGAGTATTGATACCGCACGGGATGATGCCTACCAAATACATGGTGTATGTACGTGTAGTAGCATCAAACAGTAAGCATTCAAGTCATCATCATCATCTCTCCGAATGTCGGTACTCAAAAGTTGACGGGAGCATATCACCCGTGCAGACTAAGACGCGAAGACAAGGACAAGGGGGGGGTGGCGACCGGGGAGGGTATCCTGGACGGTTGAGGACAGAGTTGACAACACGGGGGCTGGTCAACACTATCCCTTCTCTTGGTTCTCTTCTTACCAGGCATCGGTTCCCCTCCCCCTCCCCCCCCCCCCCCTGAGGAGGGACTGCGTGTGATACTAGAGACTACGAGCAGAGTCTAGTGCGAGCAATACTGTAATGCTAGTAGCTAGAGAGGCTGGGAAGGAGAAAAGTTCCCCCCGTGCCCCTGTTAGGGGTCCTGTTCAGGCTTGCTGGCTCCATTACGTCGTACATTTCTAACCTGTCGTATGATCTCTTGTATTACGTTACTACCAGTAATGAAGAATACTGGCTACTTGTACGGATATACGTACTTTTTAGTGTCTGTCACTCGCGGCTCGGCCTTGCCACTTTTTTTTTTTGCAACGCGTCTCTTTCGACTCTGTACCTGTATCGTCCTACCATGTCCCCATCGGAAAAAAGAAGAAGAAGAGAAGACTGTTTGCGGGCTTGCATGGGACAGACACGGCAAGACGAGACCCAGAGAGAAGGGAAAGGAGAAGGAGAGGAAGGAAGCATGTCCGTCATGCTCAGCCCTCATCACATAGCCCCGTCAACAGAAAAACGCCAACAACAATAACAACAACAACAACAACAATAATAATAATAACAACAATAACAATAACAACAACAACAACAGCAACAACAACAACAGCAACAACAACAACAGCAACAACAACAGCAACAACAACAGCAACAACAACAGCAACAATAACAACGACAACAAACATACAAATATACATACACCATCCATCCCACAAGGGAAAAAAACAAAAAGTAATAATACGCCTGCATGATTAAAAGAAATGAAATAGCCAGGAACCTACAGTAACCTCGCTAAGACACACACACACACACACACACACACACACACACACAAACTACGAGTACGCAACAAAAAAAAACAACAACAAAAAAAAGCAAGAAAGAAGGAAAGAACAAATTTCCTCAAGAGGCCGTCCCCACCAGTTTGGACCGTGCATATGTATTAATTTCGAGGCTTAAGATTAAGAAGCAGAATAAGAAAAAACCCCTCTCTCTCTCTCTCTCTCTCTCTCTCTCTCGCTCTCTGTCCGTCATCCGCTCTCACTCTACTCAGACCGCTCTTATTACCGTTCCCTTCTTTCGTTTTTCTTTTCTTTTTTTTTTTTTACTTGGTCCTCCCACGATTTGTCTGGTGTGTCGTGTCGGTTCCCATCTTCCGATTTCGCACCAGTCTCTTGGCTTCCCGCTCCTCCCGCTGTGGCTCCTCCCCCTCCCTTCCCCTTCCCCTCTCTCTTTATCTATTTTTTTTTCTGTTCATCCCAACCAGCCCACCCCCTGAGGGCTCTGATAGAGCTATGATAGAGAGAGGGGGGGGAGGAAGAGGTTAGATCGACCGGATGTCTTGCCTGGGAATTCTTACACGTACGTCACTGTGTAGTAGGTATCAGTAGTCGTAGTAATAGCAGAAGTAATAATACAGATTACGGTAAAATAAAAGAAAGAGACGGGGGGGGGAACATGAATCGCTAATCTATCTGTGCTGGTGGTACTCGTATATATTAATGCATGCATGCATACACATCCTGCCGCATTTTCCAGAGTTCCTGTGTTCCTGTTTGCCTCTGATTAATTCACCCGTTATCAACTGAGCTTAGACCTCTTCTTTCACTTGTTTGTTTGTTTTCTTCCATCACGATCAGCAAGTGTTAATACGTGACGTGGCATCCTGTCGCATAATTGCACGTGCGATGCATCTATCTATACGTAAGAGACACGTATATTATGATCACTTAGCTGCCAGCACACCCTGTTGCTAAGGCACAGGAGCGATGCTGCGATACGGGGCGACATGATACTATATTCATGCTATCATCGTCACACCTCGCCCAGCTCCTCGCTAAACTCCTTGATCAGGTGGGGGAGAGGGGGAAGCATATGAGAGGAGAGAGAGAGAGGAAGGGAAGATAGAGAGGAACCTAGGGTAAGCACCTTCTCCGGTCGTGAATCGTGATGCTCTGCCAAGCCTGCCCGACGATAATTTCCCCCACTTCGTAGAACCTCGGCCGGTGTCGTCTGTCTGTCTCTCTCTCTCTCTCTCTCTCTATATGAGTTTCTTCTCTTTCTTTTCTTTTTCATATACGAATAGTACAACTGTGTGTGCCCTTTTCCATTTATCCGAGAAGAGTGATGCTCTCTATCTGGTCCAGTCAATACACACTGTACATCGTATCACATACTAGCCAGTAGCAGCACCATACGAATCGACCCATCCTGAGACAACTACTGTCTAGCCCTTTATTTTCCCTCCCCTTCTCCCATCCTACATGTCAATCACCTCGAATATTAAAGAAAAGATTGATAAACAGAGAAAGGGCAACGTCAGAATGGACCTCGGAGAGCGGTGTGAAGGATATCCCCACACGCCCCCCCCCCCTCTTTCTCCATGTACGTATGATGGGATAAATACAACTCGCTGCAGGTAAGCCCCAGTTGGGCCCGGGGGTAGATTACAATCATATTCAATTATCATATCCTCTGCCAATCTGACGGTGCAGCCTCTCAAGGGGGAGAAGCAAGGTACGCGCGCGCACACGTACCAGATCTGAGGGAAGAGAAAAGAAAAATCACCATGGAAAAGAATACATCACCAGCCGGGGTGCGGTGTCATTGCCTCAACTCTCAAGTTCCGCAGCCCATGCTGCCTCCCCCTCCTTCTCAATAGAGAATCAAGATATATATATGACAGATCCCCCGCACCATGGACGAGATGGGGACTTTCGTGTACATGTAGGCGCTTACTGTCGAGAAGCACAGCCGGGGGTTTGGAGCCCAATCACCACCCATATAGAGCCTTTCTCTCTTTCTCCTCCTCTGCTGTCAATGGAAGTCGTGCTGTTCCACCGTGACGCAGCGTATCCCATGCCCCCCCCCTCCCCCTTTTATATCATCTTAATTTTTCCTTTTCAGCCAACCTCTGACCCCGCTCGACTGACGTTGGACCACAGTCGGGTACCTCGATTGCGTCCAATACATGTGCTCTGCTGCTCACTTCTTCGTGACCTGCAGAGAGACCCGGGGGAGGGACAGGTCATGTCCGTTCTGTTGATGGCATGCATGCAGATGAGGGGAAGAGAGGTCTCAGGAACGTGTAAACAAAGGGGAGACACACAGAAGCAGACAAGATATGTTTTTTTTTTTTTTATAAAAAAAAAACAGCTCATCGAGGCATGCAAGTATCCATAGCTCGTCTCCTACTCAGTACAGGTTCATCTTTTCAAGGTGAACTAGGCCATTGGGGGGCTGACAGTTTAGGAGTTAGCATGGCAAGAAACGAATGAGGGCAAAACGGTCGAGATAAGACGAGTAGTAGAAACCCCTAGGCACCAAAATAACATCCAGGGTAAAAATATGAGAGAGAGAGAGAGAGAGAGAGAGAGAGAGAGAGAGAGAGAGAGAGAGAGAAAAGAAGAGAGAAAGAGAGGGAGGGAGAGAGGGAGGTGCGAAGGNAGAGAGAGAGAGAGAGAGAGAGAGAGAGAGAGAGAGAGAGAGAGAGAGAGGAGAAGAGAAAGAGAAAAGAACAGAAAGAGACTCACCGGTACAAACTGTCGTAGCTTAACCCCAGCCTGTCGAAACACATTGGCCGCCTCGTTATCCATACTGTACCCGTGGGCGTACACGACCTCGGAGATGGCGACCTGGCAGATCTTGATGCTGCATGTGAGGCAGGGGCACGTGTCGCAGTACAGGACGGCGCCCTCGCGGATGCGGTCCCTGCCGGCCTCCAGCAGCGCGTTCTCCTCCGCGTGCAGGCACAGGCAGGTCGACAGGGCGGCGCCGGACGAGCAACCGCCGTCGTTGCAGCGCGGGCAACCCCCCTCGTTGCAGTTCCTCAGGCCCCTGGGCGTCCCGTTGTACCCGGTGCTGATGACGCGGCTCCCCCGGCCGACGAGGACGCACCCGACCCGGCGCTTCATGCAGTTGGACCGCTGGGCCGCCAGCGACGCCAGGGACATGAAGTACGAGTCCCACCCGGGCCGGAGCCTCTCCGGGTCCGTCAGCTCCAGCTTGCCCAGCGTGGCGTACAGGTGCGCCAGCGACGACGACGTGTTGAGCAGCCGCACCGTCGCCCGCGACATGATGGCCTGTATGCCCCGGTCCGCGTCGTACAGGTACCCGTCGTTGTACGACACGAACTCCTCCAGCGAGCTCATCCGCTCGGCGACGTGTGCGCCGTCGCCGTCGCCGTCGCCGCAGGCAGGATGCGCCTGCTCCTCCTGCCGTCGTAGGAACCGTCGCCAACGCACCGTCAGCGGCGCGTCGATGGATATCAGCAGGAAGAACGGCCGGCGCGAGTACACGTCCACCACGCTCTCGTCCGGCAGGTCCGTCGTCACGAACCGCATCTGCCACCGGGCCGTCACGTGGTCCAACAGAGCCTCGGGGTCGTCGAAGACGCTCGGAGACGCCGACGACCCCGCATCGCTGCTGTTCCTGGCTGGCGGTAGGTCCGCGCCGTCCACGGTCGCCAGCCCGTGCCTCGACCCCGGCGCCTCTGCCGGCACCAGATGGAGCCTCTCGAAGCCGTGGTGCTCGACGAGGTACTGTGCTACCTTTGTCTTACCGGCGCAGACGCCTGCGGGTGGCGGTGTGTCGGTCAGCTTGTTTCTTCACGTTCCCGTTGTCTGTGCATGCAGTGGAAGGGGACACACTTCCGCAGATACCGACGAGCATCTTGATTGATCTCGTTTGAGAATTCCGTCTTGCCGGTTATGTTGAGGTGGTCAGGATAAGAGACCTGTCATCACACGCGTAGATGCGCGACGAGTTCGCGAAGTAGAGGCCATGTGGACAGAAAAAAAAAGAGCAGTGCACGCAGTCCAACTACTACTCTCTACTTGCGAGTCGTATACCATGCATGGTAGGACGACACGTAGACAGTGTCCGGATCTAAGCGTGACATTCACCCCTAGACGCGGAGCAGCATGCACTATTGGGATCGGTATCGGTGCCTACAATGGCAGGTATTACATCCATTATAAACTCACCTGTATACTCCCTTGACATCTCGAATTGTGTCTGTTCGTAGTTTCCAGATTCTGATCTGCTCACTCCAGGGTAAAGAGATAGGAATGTGAAGACTGGTACTCGTTTCTCTTGCTACATGAGGACAATTGTAGGTTTGAAACAATAGGTAGGGGATTCTTCAAGTTAGCTAGAATTGCTTATAATATCTCTTTCCCTAGAGTGAGAGGATCGTAGCCTATTCATCTATAGAAAACTTGTTGCCTTTATATTAAAAAATGAATCAAGATACAACCTTCCTAGCTATATAGCAGCCTTCCATGTTTGTGTGTCGTGGTGAATCACATCACAGCTTAGGTAAACCGGACTCGACCATAAAACTGTCGAATTCCAGCACCGTGATAATTCAAAAGAACAGGAACCTTGACACCGCATGACATCTGACCTACCTTGAATGCATGTCAGCAGTGTCTGTGGTGCGTGCTCTCACAAACGTTTCTTGTCAGTCAGCTCTATCCAGATACCTTTCCACTGTGATCTGAACAACCTTCTTGCACGCCCCGATTCCTCGCACGCGGTCTTGCTCGTGTGCCGACTTTGACGTCTGTGTGGTCGATCGACAGAGTTCTTGTCGAAACACAGCACGATGATAGCTCTGCTATCTTTGTACAGAGCGACGATCCGAGTGAAGATTGAAATGAAGAGGGGAAAAAGGAGAAGATTATTATTCAAGTGGAAAAAAAAAAAAGAGCATAGTTCAAAAAAAACGAGGTGTGAAACTGTTGTTTCTCCGTTACGGGGAATCGAACCCCGGTCTCCACGGTGAAAACGTGGAATGCTAGCCGCTACACCATAACGGATCAACTGCGGAAGATGCTTGTTGTGGAGGGTGTATTCTTTATAAAGCCGTACCCGCTCTCGCACACGACCTTGCGCACTTGGCCAGGTGCCCGCCAAGCCAGTAGACAATCGGAGTCCAGGGATTGACCGGCGGTGGGCTTTTCTACTTTTATCTATTTTTCTATTATAATCATTACCGACACACACAACTGATAGATGGTACCTCGAGTGTTCATGCACAGTATATACTTATAGAAACAATTGTCGTTCCGAGGATTGCTATACCCATGGTGGGAAAGCGACAGGTGATGTAACGCGGGGGATATGCTCTCCAATGTAGTGGTTCTGCACATGTGCAGATATCTCTCTTGAGAGGTATGCATTACTTTGCAAGGAATGACCTGGGTCCGGCATATGCCACCAGCGATGATACTGCTCCGTACTCCAACCGTATCGAAATATTCCTTATCAATTGCGGCTGGGCTCTACTAGTTGGTGGCGGCTTTGCCCTTGCCCCTCGCGTGCCCCGCGCACGCATGCAGAGTTTTTGCACAGCTGGAGAAGGGAGAGGAGAGAGAGAGAGAGAGAGAGCACAAGGTGGGGAGAAGATTGCACCCTCCCTTCCACCGGTCCCCGAGGGATTATTACCACGGAAGCATCCTTTGAGGTGGCGTCTTTTTCACTAGCTTGTCTCATCGACAATTTTTTCACCTTCTTTTTTTTCTCTTTCTTTTTCTCGACGCACTAAATATGTCCTGGAGAAAGAGAAAATTTCTTCCCCCCCCCCCACCCTGGGGACAATCTGCAGTCTGCTGGCACATAGTTCCAGTCGTCAATGGTACCGTAATATGTACCTGTATTCTGTAGGTGGAAAGCTCGCTCGGGAACACGGGCACAGGTCCAGCGAGCCGATATAATACCCCGCTTCCATCCACCTACAGAATACATAAAATACTACTAGGTGTACTCCGTATCAATAGTTAATAGTAGGTACCCGTGGACAGCTATGCTGTAGTGCCACGGTGGGGGATGCGTGCCCTGCAGCGTCAGGTGCTTGGGCTGTAGCATGCTCTGTAGAAGGGGTGCTTTGGTCACCTGCCTGTACCGCTGTAGTGACGACAGTGACGCTGCCTAGATGCTCCTCTCGATGCGGTGCTCTCTGGTGCCTTGGGATGTGCCGAACTGGGCTTCGACACCTTCCTCTCATGATATGGACGATGACTGCTGTAGTAGAAGTGCTTGGTGGTAGAAGTTACCTGCTCTACCACGACTAGAGTTGATTTCTTCAGCCCACGAAAATTTCAGGCCGCATTCTGCCCATGTGCTCAGGACTCGTAACCATTGGCCTGGTAGCATCGTCGTCATTCAGTACCCCTCACCCGCAGGTTTTCTTCCCTGATGACCCGGGACCTTTATATAGTTGGGTGCTAGAGTCCGGCAGTGGGAGTATCGATACCTGCTGCTCAGTACGGGTACGGTGACGTTGCAGGTATCTCCTGGGTATCTTCCCGTGCTCTTCAGTGCTCATCATCACTGTAACCAGAACTCTCATACCTGAAAAGCGTAGCGGGAGCTAAGTAGGTTCATCGCTTCTAGCCTGTAGTTGGCCAGACCCCGGGCCCCAGAAGGCCAAAACCACGGAGGGAGGGCCTTGACTTCCCAACAGACAAACTAATCATCGCCATCCGAACAATCCACCGCACACCTTGCCTTATACTCTTTACCCTCTCCTCTTCCCTCCCTCTCTACCCGACCGCTGCTCTTCTTCCTATCTCCCTCTCCCGGCCTGTCCTGATCTCTTTCTGACTCGCGCCCTCCTGTTTTTTTCTGCGCCGACGTCTACTCCTTCCTCACCCCGCCTTGCCCACGGTAGCTGACGGCTGCCCATTGACCTGCTGCCATGGGTCAGACCCTCTCGGAGCCTGTTGTCGAAAAGGTGTGTTTTTACCTCGTCCCTCATCTTCTACATCTCCTCTTGATTCAGAACGTGGCCTCTGCTCCGTCCACTCCCCTCTTACCGTTCACCGTCGTCTTGCTCGTCACCGCCGCCGCTTGTTTTGGGCTCGGCAGGGGGATGGCCCAGAGGAGAGCGACGAGGGCGAGCCCCTCATCAGCACACTGCGCTGCATTCGGCCACGCGACACGCAATCCCATCCTCATGGTTTCCAATCCTCGATTCCCCTCGCTGTTTTCAGATGCGCAGTCGAAGGATAAGGATATGCCCCATTTTGCTGCCCTTTTCCTCGTCCCCATGTTTCTTTTACTCTGCCCTTGACTGTCGTGACAAAAATCCGGGTTTGCAGGGCACGCATGGACCCCACCGCGGGGCGCGCGGGCTGGACCCTTAGATTGCGCCTTTTGCTAACGACTCTTGTCTCCCCCGTCTCTCGCAGACTTCCGACAAGGGCGAGGATGAACGACTCCTCTATGGCCTCTCTGCCATGCAGGGATGGCGCATCAGCATGGAGGACGCACACTCTGCCATCCTCGACCTGACCGCAGAGGTCCCCCAAGACCCCAAGACGCACCCCGACAGGCTCTCCTTCTTCGGTGTCTATGACGGACACGGCGGCGACAAGGTTGCCCTATTTGCCGGCGAGAACATACAGAGCATCATTGCCAAGCAGGACACCTTCAGAAATGGCGACTACAGCCAGGGCCTAAAGGATGGCTTCCTCGCCACCGACCGTGCCATCCTCAGCGGTATGCTTTTACCCTCGTATATCCCATTCTCATCACCTCTACCGATCATGCTGACAAAAGATGACATGCAGATCCCAAATACGAGGAAGAAGTATCGGGCTGCACTGCTTGCGTCGGCCTGATTGCCGGAAAGAAGATTTACCTGGTACGCTCAACCCATTCTGCAGAGGACCCTCGAGGAGGAAGGGGGGGAGATGATGAGAAACAGGAATGAGAAGAGGAAACGAGATGTAGAGGAAAATAGAAGACGAGAAGGGGGGGGGGGAGAAGAAGAGAGAGATGGCAAAAACTGACTGTAATAGGCCAACGCTGGTGATTCGCGAGCTGTCCTTGGCATCAAGGGTCGCGCCAAGCCTCTCTCCCAAGACCACAAGCCTCAGCTTGAGAGTCAGTCATCCCCCCGCCCCCTCCCTGCATTATACGCGAGTCAACGGACCGTGTATATTTATGCATAGGAAAAATTTTATATCCCATGGGTGACAGGATAGAAACTGACTGAGGGAATCCCAAATATAGCGGAGAAGAACCGCATCACTGCCGCTGGTGGATTCGTAGATTTCGGCCGCGTCAACGGAAACCTCGCTCTATCCCGCGCTATTGGCGACTTTGAGTTCAAGAAGAGTGCCGAGCTGTCGCCCGAGAACCAGATCGTCACTGCCTCGCCCGACGTCGAGGTCCACGACCTCACCGACGAGGATGAGTTCCTGGTCATTGCATGCGATGGTAAGTCTTGGCTCCTCAGGTCCCCGTTGGCCGCTCCGCCCCAAAGTGCGCATGGACAGGAAATTCACTCATGTGTTCACAGGTATCTGGGACTGCCAGTCTTCCCAAGCCGTCGTCGAATTCGTCCGGAGGGGCATCGCCGCCAAGCAGGACCTGGACAAAATCTGCGAGAATATGATGGATAATTGCTTGGCTTCTAACTCGGAGACGGGCGGCGTCGGATGCGACAACATGACCATGCTCATCATCGCCTTTCTCAACGGCAGGACAAAGGAGGAGTGGTACGAGGAGGTGGCCAAGAGGGTCGCCAACGGAGACGGACCCTGCGCTCCCCCGGAATACGGTATGGCAGTGACCCAGCAGAACCTTTGACCTGGACAAATGAAAATGCCCACCACCACGCCCCGCCGGACAGACATTCCTTGCTCTCTCTCTCCATCTCTCCCTCGTCTACGCGCGTCCTCCTATATACTGCACCGCACACACACACACACACACACACACACACACGCAATTATCCGCCGACGTGAAGCTAACTACCTCGCTCGTTGCCGATCAAATCCAGCCGAGTTTCGTGGTCCCGGAGTCCACCACAACTACGAAGACAGCGACAGCGGTTACGAGGTGGATGCGGATAGCAAGGGCAAGAGCTTTGGCGTCGGTGGGTACCGAGGTCGCATCATCTTCCTCGGCGATGGCACGGAGGTTCTTACCGATTCAGATGATACGGAAATGTTCGACAACGCCGACGAGGACAAGGACCTAGAGTCCCAGGTCTCGAAGAACACGACGACGACGGCAACGGCCGGCGATGAACAATCAACAAAGGACGCGAGCAACGAGACGACTGCGACGACGACGACGACGACGACGACGACGACGACGACGGAATCCCCCACCGAGGCTGCTACTGCCGCACCCGACACGAGCAAAGGTGAGGGATCTAAGGGTGGAGAGGAGGGCACCAAGGCGGACGAGAGCAAGACAAAGGAGGAGCAAACCAGGAACAAGACCCCGCAGGACGGCAAGGAGAACTAGGCGATTTTCATTCCAGACAGGGCGGAAGATGACGCGTGTCCTGTGTGTCATGTTGAATAAGATGAGAGAAGAGTCGCAGCAGCATCATAATTTTTTTTTCAACTTTCACCTCCCACTCCCCCACCTCACGAAATTTTGTTCAACTTGGGTTTTTGTTTCGTTTCGTTTTTCCTGTTTCTACACTTTTTATTTTTTTTATTTTTATCTTTGAAAAAGAATTTTTCTACACATGACTAACTCGGGCCGTTCTCTCTCTACACTTATTATTGGAAGTCTGGAAGTTTATGTGTTGAGTCGGTGGCAGGTGTAAAGGTGGCTGAGTGGTAAAGCTGTAGGCCTTTTCAGGGCCTTTGGTTCTTCTCCTTTTCTTCTCCTTTCTTTTTCGACATGTTTCTTCTTGCCGTGGTTGTAGCTTGTCTTGTTGGTACTATGCATACTCAGTTTGACAAGTTTGACGCTCTATTTTACGATTTATATAATACTGGTCCTGAGGGTGGTGAGCGGTACGTTATGGATTCGATGTAGGGCAAAATACATGTACATGATGTAGTTCTTGTAATATATACTGGTACTGTTGGTACATAAAAAACCTCCCTCTTCTTCTTCTTCTTCTATATCTTATCCTTATGATTTACATGTACAGCTGGCCATGCACAGCTGCCTAGCCGCGCCGAAGAAGAAGTGGAAGGAGGGAGGTGATAGAAGAAAGATGTTGCAAGCCTATGCAGCCAGGGGTTCCTGGTCGTGAGGCGGATCACGACGTGAGTATTGCTGTTGCTGCTTCTGTCTATGCCACTGCTTCTTCTGAGGTTTAGGCACGGAAATCATAGTCTCTGGATCGAAATATGTGTCTAGGCGGATGGTATGCGTAGCCTCAGCAGCAGGGTCCGAGTCGGCAGGACGCATCTTGATTTCGAGTGAAGAGTTCTTGCTATTGCTGCTGCTGCTGCTGCTGTTGTTGTTGTTGTCAAGAAGGAGAGCGGAGGTGAGAGATGAGGCGAGAGACTGAGCTGGGACTAAGCCGTGGCATGCGGACACGACGGCGCGACTGGCCTTGTTGACGGCCTTGTACGGGTCGCGCATGGGCTGCTCTCGCAGGGATGAGGCCATTTCCGCTGAGAGGAGGGGCACGCGGAGGCTGTTGGTGGTCCCGTCGGGGTCGGCGTCTGCACCGGCGGGAACGGGGACGAGGCCCGAGGTGATGATGGGGAGGAGCATCCTGCGAGGCTGGTGGCGGAGCTTGAACTCGTGGGAGGCGTGGAAGAAGGCGGCCGCCAGGGCGTGGGGGCGGCGCGAGCCGACGGCCAGGCGGACGACGAGGTGGTAGGTGTCGTGGACGAGGTCGATGGACAGGCGGTGGGCGAGGTCGAGGGCCCACAGGGCGGCGGGCCAGTCGTGGTTGCGCACGGCGTGCTCGAGCACGACGTTGACGGTGGAGACGTCGACCAGGGGGCGGCCGTCATGGACCGACGAGGCGGCCAGACCGGCGGCGGCCTCGACGACGGGCCCGTACTCGGCCGCCGGGTCCGGGAGCGACTCGCCGTGGAAGCGGAGGTACTCCCTCAGGATGGCGTTGAGGGCGTCGCGGGACAGCCAGGCATCGCCGTAGCGTGCGGCCTGGTCGCGCATCAGGTCGGCCAGGGACCTGCCCGACCGGAGGGCTGAGTAGGCGTCCTGCTGTGCCATGATGGACGCTACAGCCCGGTTCGTGGCCGCGTTGGAGAACAGGCCGAGCTCGTACATGGCCACGACGATCTGGCGCCGCAGGTCGTCCTGCTGCACCAGCCGCAGCAGGAGGAGCCACGTGCGTGTGTTGGGCGCAAAGTACCGCGCGCGCATCTTGCGCAGGAACATGTGGAAGAAGCGGAAGTCGCGCTTAGTCACGTAGCCCTCCAGCATGATGTTGAAGGTGCCCGTGTCCATCGGGACGCCCCACTCCTCGGCCTGCGTGAAGAGCCGGTCCGCCGACGCGCGGTGCCCGCCCCGCTGCGACATGAAGGACAGCGCCATGTTGAGCGCCGGCGCCGTGATGAACCGCCGCGCCGCCGGGTCCATGAAGGCGTCCATCATGAGCCCCACGCGGATCCCGTTGGTGTCGACCTGCTCGCCTGCCCGCCCGCGGCTCTTGCTCCACTGCGAGTACAGCGGCAGCGCCAGGTGCGGCCGCAGCCGGCTGCCCGCCAGCCCGGCGATGTAGGTCTCAAAGTCGGCCGACGACGTCCACTTTGCCGGCCGGGGCACGTGGTCCTCGTAGCGCGTCTCGATCCACCGCTCCTCGGCCTGCTCCCGGTGCACCCAGACGGACCCGAGCTTGTCGGCGGGGACGGACCCGAACGTGCTGACAGTGGCATCGTCGATGGCCGGCCACAGCTGCCGCGTCTCGTAGTCGCACTCGGCCAGCTCGCCGAGCTGGTAGATCTTGACGTGTCGGCACACGCCCAGCAGCTCGTCGGCCGCCTTGGCCAGCGTCGCGCTCTGGCCCCGCACCACGATGGCCGAGGCGTCCCGTTGGTCCATGTACACCCTCAGCCGCTCCTTGAGGCCCGTGATGGAGTCGACAAAGTCTACGTTGCGGTTGCTCACGTCCAGATCCCAGTTCCCCGGGAGCACGATGCGCATCGCCGCTATCTGCTTCGCCCCACTGCTCATCCGCACCGTCGTCCGCTGCAGGTGTTCCAGCATGTCGCGCCAGTCCAGCCCGTTCACGAGCCGATGCTCCTTGACCTTGTACTGGCTCCATATCGTGTCGAAGCCTGCCTGCGTGCGCGCGTGCTGCCACGCCTCCCGGAGAGATTCCGCCGTCGCCGTCGCCGACGGGTAGTCGCGCGCCGGTGGCACAAACGGCGACGACAGTTTCTTCTCTACGTCCTCTTCCGGCGCTTGTGTAAAGGCTTCGCGGAAGAACCTGTTGCGCTCTCGACTCGACGGTGCTGGGGTGTTCTTCTTGGAGGAGGAAGGTGAGTGGCTCTCGTTGCTTCTGCTGCCTCTGCTGCTGCTCGCTGTATTCTTTGTTTTTTCTGCCGCCGCTGCTCTTGGGGGTGTCGCCGTCGAGTACCAGCTTCGTTTAGTCGCCGTTGTCGGACATTGCTGCTGTTGTAGCTGTGTAAGATGGGCCTGCTGCAGTCTACGTCGCAGGACTCCGCCGCCATCTGCGGGCGCCGCCACATGGCCGACCAGGCGGACAGGAGCCCTGCATATCTGTCGGACCACCTGGAACATTGGTCATGAGGTACGAGATGGTGGTGGGCGTCTTGGGGGGTGNGAGAAGAAAATAAGTAGCTGTGAGGATGGCACCGAGATAAAGAGTTTCTCTACGTTTCGCGGTCAGTCACGTGCGGGTCGTCCATCAGATTTCAGGGGCGGATTATCCACTGATCCGTGCAAGTTAAGTTATCCATTGAAGAAACACCCGCTTGGGCGTTTCCAGTTGCCAACACTCCAGCCAGAACTATGGTGAAATAAGCGTAGAAAGACAAGCGATGATTGCTTTCCCTTTCGAGTTGCGTGAGTGCAAAGGTTCGTATAACGACCATGACAGTGGGTGGTGACGGTCGTCTCGTCAGTGCCGGCCTGGGCTTTGGACACTAGCGGGATGTGTGGATGCGATCGAGAAGACAATAGCAGCCCGAGTCCATTGTTCTCGCACGTGTTCATACAGGTGTATTTCAAGACGACGCCTGTTCTTCTCTGCTATTTATGGTGCATCCGTCCCCGGCAGCTTATCACCATTTGGCCCCGATGGACCACTATGATCTAGCCCTTCCCAGGCGTTACATGGACCACCGTCCTTGTCTTCGTTCTCGTGCTCGTGCGGTCGAGCTATGCCTCTGTCGGCCATCTGCTTGACATCGCTCCAATAGGCCAACTTGCGGACCTCCTCTTCTGCATGCTTGAGGGCAGCCTCGAGGGCTCTGCAACGGTCCCGCAGCTCTGGTGCCGACGGCGTCCCCTCTTCCCCCCCCCCTTCTCCTCCCTCTTCCTTTTTCTTATCGTCTCCCTCCTTCTTGCTGCCCTCATTCTTGGCATCATCATCGTCTAGCTCCCCCTTGGTACTGTTATACAGTCTCATAATGTGGCCGAGCAGGAGCCGCCGCGAGGCTTGAAACACAAAGCATCTCATGATGCCGTGCATCTCGCCCTGTAGCTGGTCGAGGTCCCGTGCGTGGTCGAGATATTGGATGGTGGCCTCGAGCTTCTCTCGGTCGAGAGCGGCCCTGCGCAGCGTCGGCAGCAGGGTATCGAGGTCCTCGATCTCAGAGGAAGCCTGTTCGTCGTGCGATGACACCGTCATGTGGCTGGCGGGCCGGCTGCCGGCAGGGCTCCGGCGCGACAGCTGTTTGGTCAGGGCTGACGTGGGCTGCACGGAAAAGTAGTCGCCATTGATCATGTGCGGGTCGGTAGAGATGTCCCCTGTCCTCTTCTTGGCCCGCTTGCAGGTCCAGGCGCGTCGGCGCACAAACGAATTGTACCACTTCGGTCCGTGCCAGGAGAACATGTTGCCAAAGGCGAAGGAGTACTCCCAGCCCCCCTCGTCGACACCCTCCTGGCGGTTGATGTGCCAATCGGGCCATACCCACTCCCACGTCGGATCGGGGACCTGGGCTGTGGTCGTATCGCTTGGTGAGGGTTTGTGATAGGCATTTGCTACGAGCGGACTCGGGTCAGTCGCCTGTGGCCAAGAATCGGGCGATGGGATGCAAACACTGACTCCAGTGAGGGGGATCGAAGCCGCTGAGCAGACCTGATGAGAACATTGGACAGCCGCATAGAAGAGATCCCCTCTCGTTCTCGTACAGAATATCCATGGCCGTCTCGCGCTCGACCTTGGGGTGCTCGGGTACGACGTCGTCACCGTGTAGGCCGTCCGAGCTCGGTGCTGTTGACGTGCTGGTCAGCACTCGTCCCTCCCTCGTGACGGTGGCGGATACGGAAAAACTACATACCTCGAACCTCGATTGACGGTTTCATGGCAGGATGAGGTAGATCATGTTGACCGTCGAGGGACATGCAGGACCCCTGCTGGGGCTGCTGCGTTTGCGCATCGTCGTCACGTTCCGTGTCGCGACCGGTAGCTGATTGTGACGATTGGGCATCCGACGTCGACTGCGATGCGACGTTGTCGGATGGCAGGAGGCGTGCCTCAGTAGACGTCCTGGCCAGAGAAGCGTCGGGAGCCGTGTCGGCATCGTGATCGACGAGATCAATGGTATGATCGTAGTCGGCAGGTTTGAGCCCCACCGCGCGGCGAGAGCTCCTGATGCGATGCATTGCCGAATTGATGGGAGCTATCGTCAGCCATACATGGCAATGACTGCCTCTCTCCAAGACGGCCACTATCGTCGTCGACAGGGGATGTGGGCGATCGGGTAGAGGAGAGAGTGAGCGAGCTGCCGCAACAGAATGATAATGATACAGGGAAGCACTGATTACGTCAATGATGCGGGACCAGGTGATTTCGAGACCAGGTTACATCAGCCCCGGAAGTGGAGAAACAGCAAGCGACGACAAACTGGAGAGCAAGGGCGGAATTGCTGCGCGCTGTTCCTGGACGAGGCAATGGCGTGTCGGAGGAGGAGGAAGAGGGTTTGTGTTCTGCCCGCTTGAGATTCCTACCCGTGCTGGTAATGTGCTTGCAATATTATCACTAGCAGGTTTTTCTTGCCTCCTCAGCTGCTCCTGCTACCAAGCTACTACCGATAGCAGCACGTACCGTACGGACATGCCAGATTGTCGGCAAAAAGTCAAGGCTTGAGCATCTGTCTAGGTGTATGAAACCATCCTACGATTGCCGTCTTGCCCGGATGGATGCACAGATTCCCCATCTTATCCAGCTCACAGTGAAGCCGTGGTAATACGGCTAGCAAATCGTCGTCACTGCACTCGTACGTTTGCAGCAGAGCGGAGCCAGTAACTGTTTACTACATAATACTCGTATACGAGCACAGATCAGTCGTAGATGACGAGAGAACTACTATGACGTCACAGTAGTAGAGCTGCTCCTATCACCTGAGACGCTACCACGGCGTAATTCCGGCAAATGAAAAAAAAAAAAATATGGAGGTTTCAGACGGAGCTTGAACATGATCCGTTCCGCTCTCTTCCTCTACGAGCACGACTATGTCTCCCTGGCCTTCTTTTCTCCTGGATGATGGATCTCTCTCTATTGGCCCCCCCCCCCCCCACCGCTCACGCTCACGGTGTTCAGGGCCCTCCCCTCACTCGCGGAGAGAGATCTGAGAAGTGGAGTGAGAGGTATTCAGGCAAGTAGGTTAAGCGCCCAGACATGCATATTTATGCAGTCGTGGGCCAATAGAGGATTGCTGTCAAGACAGATGAAGCTAAGAATAGACGTTAATATACCCCCCCCCCCCGGTCTCTGGTGACACCAAGGTCCAATCAAGATAGTCGAGTGCTGGGTTCGTGGGTATTCTTGTATTTTTACTCGCATGATGATTTCTTGTATGCTATGATGTACGGCTATCTGTTCATCTCTCTCTCCCTCCTTTCTCTGGCGATACACGGAAGGCAAGGCTTGGTTGCTGCTGTTGAGCACTGATATTCCCGCTTAGACCGTCAGCCGTACGACGGACATACGAGCACATATCTGATTGCATTACTCAGCCTGTGGTATACAGAGCACCGGCGGTGCTACTTCGACTACTTGCCATGCTACAAGATCATCACGTGTCACCGTGTATCACCACGCGCAATATTGCTTCTCATCGAGTAATGGCCTCCATCACTACTATATTTAGCCGGACCACGATTTCTCTGCTGCATATTCCAATAGAAATCCGGTTCAGGCATGTATATGTATGCCTCACCACCTACTCGGCACTTGCAGGGGCCGACTATTTCTCGGTCCCTCTCTCTCAGAAGAAGAAGGCTAGCCCCTCACCCGCACACCCGCATGGGTGGATGCAGGGGTCTCTGCTTCTCCCTCCCCCTTCTCGACTCGTCGCTTCTCACAGCTGCCATTTGGCCCTCTGGCTGTCCCGTGTTTGAATCCCTACCTACGGTGGGACAGCTTGCTTGGCGACTTGTTAGTGCTGCTACATGGTCCCTACACCCCCAAGATACATCGTGCGATACGAAGACAGGCCAGGGAAGCACAGCAGTCATCACCCTTTCCCCTCCTCTCCCTGCCGTGTACGTGACCGCCTCGCAACCTTCGAGACCTCCGGCTCAAGGCCCCATCGCTGTTCCCCCGTCTGGCTTGAGCATAGGAGACCAGAAGCTCCCGGCTTGGCAGCTTGGTTGACACGCTCCACCCTACCATCTACCAATATTACCTACTTCTTTGTAGGTAGGTGCTCTCGTCTCTCCTCGTATGCAGGAAGAAAAAGACCAGCCGTCCGACTTATCTTGGGTGAGACTATCCGTACTCTCTGCTCTCTCCCCCCACCTTCGCCTTGTTCCTCATCATTGAAGAGTAATCTCCCGCGCATGAACCTCGTATCCAGCTGCTACGCTCCCCTCGCCGTCTGAAAGGAAGTAAGGCGTTTTCCTCCCTTCCATCGGCGTTTGGGGGAGGCTAGAGAAAAGAAGAAACGAAAAAAAAGAAAAGAAGAGGAAAAAAGTGGTTTCCCCCGCGTCCTTGGACTGGCTCCATTTGCTTCATCCTGTCGTCGGTTGGCCCATTCAGGCGGCCACTACCCTTTCTAATTATACTCACTCGAGTGTCGGTCTCGTTTCCCGCGGCAGACCGTCCCAGCAGACACGATGTCTTCTTCCTCCCGCGACACCCCGCGGCTCCGTTTCGGTCTGAACCCGCTCATGACGGCTTCGCTGGGCTCTTCCTCTCACAACCTGCAGCCTCACGGCACACCCATCTCGGCCCTCTCCATGGCGTCCTCTCACCTGGTGTCGGCTCAGACGCCGGGGAGCGCCATCCAACCTTACAACCCTCAGGAATGGGTTGCATCGCCTGCACAGACCGTGGACCGCCAATCGTCGTATACTGCCGAACCGCATGGTGAGCATCCGACGTCTCCTCCAATCGTCTCCGCCGGCTATGCGTATCAGCAGGTAGCTAACATGATCTGCTCACCCGCCACGCAGTGTCAGGACCGCCTCCGCCTCCGCCGCCTTATAGCCCGCCGAGGGGTCAGCAGCAGCAACGCCCCGCAAGCATCGTCATAGATCACGGTGGCTCGCCTTCCAACGGAAGTCTGGCTCAGCCCCCGCCCAGGATACCTGCCTCCAACATACAGCCACCCGTCAGTCAAAATTTCCCCCCACCTCCGGGGTCGAGAGGCGCCTCCCGTGAACGTAGGTTCGGTCTGCCATCCTTTGGCCGACGCAATCGAGACTCCGACCAGCCAGCCACTCCTGAGCCCCATCACCAAACACGCCAGAGCATGGGCCCGTCATCGTTCTACTCGCCGGAACTGTCGCGGCCGTCTTCTACAGTCTCACACAGTGGTCCCCTAACCCCTCAAGCGGGCCCTCCCGGCGCGCGTAGAGCCGTGTCGGCCGGTGCCGTCGAGACGCCCACGTCGGCACGCTCACGCTCAGGATCCCAAGTCCGGGGGGAGCTGGGCATGGCTGTGCCTCCGCCGCCGCCGGGACCGCCGCCGGCCAGCTCGCGATCACAGAGCGTCCAGGGCATGGACCGCACGGCCGTCCCCATAATATCGCCCCCGACACGCCGACCGCGACCTGCTGCCTCCACGCTCGGCCCCGTGCCGCCGACTCCGGCTGGCTGGGTCGAGGGAAGCCGCGAGCCGGAGCCGACAATGGCGGTGGATCGTAACCATGCGGGCTTGACAGTCGACACCGAGACCGCCCAGACCGCCGCTAACGTTCCCGACGCTCCTGGCTCGTCCTCAAGCGCGTCCGGGCTGAACAGGGCCAAGGCTGTGCGTCACGACAAGACGATACTCCAGAGGCGGACTGAGAGCCGCACGCGTCACGGAGAACGCCAGTCCATGGATGAGGGGTCTCGGCCTCACGGTATTTCAGACATCGTGGTCCCCAGCGGCTCGTCGAATGGGGCCACCCCACCTCGTCCCCCAAAGCCGACGACACCTCGTGGCGGGCATCCGATCGAAACGCCGCATACAGGCGAATCTAGTACGACAGCCGATTCGCGTAACTCGACACCCCGTACCGCCGGGACGATGCAGAATCCCAACCCGCTGGACACGGCCACCCCCCCTTTCTCTCCGTTCTACCCCAAGTCGGTGCCCAGGACGACTGCGGGCGCCTCCTCCTCCAGCGCAGCCCCAAAGTCACTGCCGACCCCGCCTCCTCAAGTGAGGTCGGCGTCGAGCTCCCACCCAAGGGACTCTTCACGACCGCCTGCGTCCCTGTGCACACCTATATCGAAGCACCTCGTCATCACCCAGAGCGCCGAGCAGTTTGCCGCAGGTACGATTGAACGGTTCCAGAGCTTCGCGGCCCACGAGGCCGTGGCCCAGACAGATGCCGACCGTGTGCGCCTATTCGCCGACTTCATGGTCAACGAGTCACGGATCCGTCGTGAAAGGTACTCGACCGCCATTGGGGCTATGGGGTCCGAGATTTTCGACCTCACGCGCGACTTATTCCGTCCTATGATGCCCCCCAGGACAGCATCTGTCACATCTCACGATGAGTGGACCCCTCAATCATCGGAGCCGACACGCTCCCAGAGGGGCTCATTCGGGGCCGTGCTAGCAGGCGAGGCCGGACCGAGCTCCGAACCCACCTCTGCCAACCGCCTGCCTCCGTCGCCGAGTACGAGCGGCCAAGCTCCCGTCATGGGCTCGTCGAGCTACATGCCCTCGCTCTCACCCATCCTCAGCATGAGCGTCAGCGACAATCACGGCGACGGCAGCTCCCGGGGCAGGTCATCTAGCCGCTGGTGGGAGGCCGACTCGCAAGGGGATCCGTCGCGGCGCATCGAGCGATCTAAGCGAGAGTCCAAGTACATGGGTCTTCCCAAGCACCAGTGGGCCGAGGCGGACCCCTCGGACTCATCACACGACAACCCGTCCAACGACGGGTCGGGCTGGTCGGGAACCGAGTACCCGCCCGAGAAGACGGGGTGGCACGATAAGAACGAGTCGGCGACTACCCCGCAGCCATGGGCGGCCAGCTCGACGCAGACGCCGATACGATCGCACGAGCCCATGGAGCGCCAAGCGCTGGACGTGTCTCGGCTGGTGACTCTACCGCCGCCTTACCCGCGGCACCACCCTGCCGTCAACAACAACCACCCAGAGCTGGCATCGATCCGGAACTCGGTGCGGGAGATTAGCGACATGTCGGAGCTGGAGCGCATCAAGCAGGCCTTCGCCAAGGAGAGCTCGAAGCGGCGGGAGGAGTTCGAGGGTGCGGCATCGGAGCGATGGCGCAGTCTGCGGGCGAACCTGCACCAGGAAGTCAGCAGCGGCAACCTCGGGTACGCGGACGCGGGGGCCATCGAGATGGACTTCCGGCAGCAAGAGAACGAACGGAAGAAGGATCTCGAGAAGAGCGAGTACGAGGCCTTCCAGGACCAGGTGGTGATGCCGGCCAACGATATGCTGAGTCGGCGCATCGAGACGGCGACGGAGCTGTACACCAACCTGTCACGCACGCTATCCGACCTGCAGAACAACGACGCGGACATGCCGCAGGAGGAGGGCGACGACCGGCCGGAGCTTCTGGAGAAGCTGACGCTACTAAAGTGGGTGTTTGAGGCGCGCGAGACGCTCCACCGCGCCATCTACGACATTCTGTCAGACCGCAACAACAAGTTCCGCGAGGTCGTGGTCCTCCCGTACCGGCTGGCGAACAACACGGAAAAGGCGACGAGTGCGGAGGCCTTCTTCGACGCGGACTCGCGCCAGCGGGAGAACGCCATGGCACGCGAAGTGCTCGAGCGCACCCGCCACCTGGGCGTCGTCGTCGACGACGCCGTGCAGCGGGGCGTGGCCCTCCAGCTTTCGGCCTTCTGGGACATTGCCCCGGCCCTATCCGGCCTGCTGGAGTCTATACCCCCGGACCTGGCGGGCTTCACCATCCACGTCCCGCCGTCGGAGCTGGAGGAGAACCCGGCGTACGTCGACCACCCGATGCAGTACCTGCTCACGCTGGTCCACCACACGGAGAAGAGCACGTATCAGTTCATAGAGGCGCACACCAACCTCCTCTGCCTGCTGCACGAGGTCAAGGAGGCCATCGCCACGGCCGAGGCGAGGGTCGTGGCCACCCAGGTCGACAGTGCCGACGGCGCCGACGACGGCGGTGCCACCCCGACCAAGGCGGACCGTCAGGAGGCTGCCAGGGCCATGCGCGCCGCAGAGGAGGTGCGTCTCACAGAGGACCTGCAGGACAAGGTGCGTCTCGTGCAGGATCAGTGGGACAGTGCGCTCGCCAACAAGATCCGGGCCGTCAAGGAGACGACGGCCGAGTGGCTTCTCGACACGGGTGGGTGGGACGAGACACTCATCGAGGATGGCGGTGCAAGTGTCTGATTTACTCCCATCTCTTTTTTTCCCGCTCCTTGTCGCCTTTATATTTCTATTTCCTTCTCTCCTTTTGAGAGCCATGATACCCCCCCATTCGTTTATATTTGCCACTGGCCTCTTTCAATGTTTGGAGATTTCTCTATATATATACTCCAGGCTCAGGTATACTATGTATATAATATACTTCAGACTCAGGCTCAGGTATATTATATATATATACAGGTGCACCACCACGCCTTGCGGGCACGAACATGCACGAAATCAACGATTGTTTTCCTCTTCCAGTGCCTCTTTCTGTGTCCTTGTATACGCGTATAATTTACAGTGATAGGAGAGAGATTCCTTCTCGTACATGCCCTCCCAGTATACATACATTGTAAAGGGGGAAACCCCCTATTTCTTGTACTCCTCAGGCATATCCATTCCCACCCTCCGAGCCGTGAGACGGATCCGATCCTCGTCCTCCATGTTGATACCGGGGTTGTACCTCTCGATGAGGTTGACGTAGGACCGCTGCGAGCGCAGATACGTGGCCAGCTGGTGGGCGCGGGCGGCCTCAACGTGTGCAGGGGGTCGTCGCGCCGTCGTAGAGTCGGCCGATTTCGATGTGGCAGAGTCGGAGCCGGGAGAGGCGGCGAACGAATCGCGGAGTCGGCCGTGCACGGGCGCGCGCGGTAGGGACAGGACAGGACGTGGTGGGAGTTCCCGGAGGAGAGAGCGGTACAGCGACCGGAGACGGGGAGCCGACGTGGACATTTCTTGGCTCTTTCTTTCTTTTCTTTTCTTTTCTTTCCTTCCTTTCTTTCCCCTTCTTTCTCTTCTTTTCCTCGCTCTCAGTCTTTCCTCGCTCTCTTCCGTCGTCTTCTTTGTGGAAGAAACATACAAAATTGAAAATTAAGAAGAGAAAAAAAAGAGAGAAAAAAAAAAGTCCCTCGGGAACGACCGCCTCCTGGCAGCGCAAATGTGATGGGTTGGTCCTTGCGGGGGAGATGATGTCGGATGGAATTGTCGGAACTTGGAAGCAAAGAAACGCAGTGGGATTGGGGAGGGGGGTCCGGGTTGGTTTGGCTGCTGCTTTGCTCTTTGTCACTTGATCTTGTTAAGACGCGTCTCCACTTCTCTTCTCTTACTAACTTCCAAGCTTCCCCTGAGTGCTTTTTTCTTTTTTGACACTCGATGCCATTACTGCGAAAAGTCTATATAGATATATATTTTTTGCCGTTCACCTGGTCAGTCCCTGCCGGGGACCTCCTGCGTGGAGCCCCTTCTCGCTGCGTTCGCCTGTCCTGGTGGCCAACTTATAGGGAAGAGCTTCCTCGCCGTGTTCGCGTCTCCTTGTCACTTGGGAGATGAAGATTGTATATTATAGATAACGCACGTGTTATATTGCACATTTCTCCCTTTATAAAAAAAAAAAGAAAAATCGACACGCACATGTAGTAATAGTACAGAGTAGTGGTATATGACATGATTTTCAGAGAATCAAGACGCTCTGAGCCGGTCGCTCAGCTAATCTTCTTAGACTTGAGCTTGATGGTCTCGTCATTGATGAAGATGCCCTTGCCCTTGTACGGCTCCGGCTTGCGCCACTGCTTGACCTTGCCGGCGAATGACATGATGGTCTCCTTGTCCGTCCCCTCGAGCAGGATGCGCGTGGGCGAAGGCGTCGTCACCTTGATGCCGCGCGGGATCCCCTCCTCGACCGGGTGCGTGAACCCCAGCTTCAGGCAGAGGAAGTCCTGCCCGGGGAACTCCTCCTTGCCCGTGCGCTTCTCCACCGTGGCGCGGTACCCGACACCCACGAGGCGGAGGATGGCGCTATGACCCTCGGATACGCCCATGATGCTGTTGCGGAGGTATGCCCATGATGTCCCTAATCGTTTTCAAGAGTCAGTCCCTCCATTCATCGTCATCATCCTCTTCTTCTTCTTCATTATTTTCTCCCTCTCTCTTCCAGAGGACGGTGAATGAAGAAGAAACTCACCCCACATATCTTGCTGCCCCTTCGCGTCAACATTAGCCACGCTGAGAATGGCAGTCTTCTCCTCCTCATTCTTCTCCAACTTGACGAAATCCGGCACTTCAAGTTCAAGTTGACCTGTACGTCGTCAGCGGCCAATTTTCTCTTTGTTTTTTTTCTTCACTCCCCTCTTCCCTGAAACATACCCAATGGTCCCTTGACAGTTATAATCCTCTTAGCAGTCGACTTCCAATCCCTCACCCCACGCTGAAGCACGGGTTCGCCCATGATGAGCTCCACGCCGGGAGGTATGGAGATGGGGGTCCGTCCAAGCTTGGAAGATAGTCGAGTCGTCGTGGAGAATTGTCGGGGACGCTGCTGCTGGTGCATCTGGCTCATCACCGTCGTGGTAGTTGTCGCGGTCGTCATCGCTGTGACCTGCTGCCATGCCGGGACGAGGAATCCTGGCAGGCTGACCGTCAAGGTGGCCCGGGAAGCGCAGGCCAACGCCTTGCTCCGGCTGGGAGAAACCATGGCGGCTGCCATTGGGTTCAGGTGGTGTTTTTTTTTTTGCAAGAAGAAAGAAAAGATCAACAAACAAACAAAAAGTCGTCGTCGTCGTCGTCGGACAGGAGCGGGAGTGGGTTGCAGAGCTCCGGAGCTGCCAAAGAAACATCGTCCCTGTCCCTCTCAATTTTCTGAAATCCGAAATGACTAATCACATCACGTGGACCTTCCGACGCGTCTCCTTGATTGCAACGCGAACAGTTTTAACACCACGACAATCAAGCATGGCGGCAGCCAAAGGATTTACAAGCTCGTAACCGTTTGTTAAGATACTGAAGAAGTTGTAAAAGCATAGAATTGTAGGGTATTAGAGTACTTTGAATGACATGTTTCGTTGGGCACAGCTACTAATACGTTGATTGTGCTGCCAAGCTAAACATGGCTAGGAACAACTCCCCTCCCTTGATTTCATAGCACCATCACCCCCACAACTCAAGAAGAGAAATTGATCAAGGCTGGCTTATTGACTAGATTCACCGTGGCCTAGGCACACACGTGCAACGACGGGCATCGTGAGCGCTGGCCAGGGCCATGGGAGAGGCTTCGGTATAGGACCAAGCTTACTCCTCGGTCTCAAGAGGAGCCTCCTCCTCGTACTCCTCCTCCTCCTCATCGATACCAGCATCCTGGTACTGCTGGTACTCCGAGACAAGGTCGTTCATGTTGGACTCGGCCTCGGTGAACTCCATCTCGTCCATACCCTCGCCAGTGTACCAGTGAAGGAAAGCCTTGCGACGGAACATGACGGCGAACTGCTCGCCGACACGCTTGAAGAGCTCCTGGATCGAGGTCGAGTTACCGATGAAGGTGGACGACATCTTGAGGCCACGGGGAGGAATGGCGCAGAGAGCAGTCTGGATGTTGTTGGGGATCCACTCGACAAAGTACGACGAGTTCTTGCTCTGGACGTTGCGCATCTGGTCCTCGACCTCCTTCATGGCAACCTTACCACGGCTGTTGGTTGGATTGTCAGTCTTGCACAAGTCACGTCAAAGATGGCGGGAGAAGGGACTGAGAGGGATAAACGTACAAGATGGCAGAGCAGGTCAGGTAGCGACCGTTGCGGAAGTCAGAGGCAGCCATCATGTTCTTGGGGTCGAACATCTGCTGTGTGAGCTCGGGCACGCTGACAGCGCGGAACGAGTAGGATCCACGGCTGGTCAGGGGGGCGAAGCCGACCATGAAGAAGTGCAGACGGGGGAAGGGGACCATGTTGACGGCCAGCTTGCGGAGGTCAGAGTTGAGCTGACCGGGGAAGCGGAGACAGGTGGTGACGCCCGACATGACGGCAGAGACCAGGTAGTTCAGGTCACCGTACGAGGGGTTGGACAGCTTGAGGGTACGCATGCAGATGTCGTAGAGAGCCTCGTTGTCAATGCAGAAGGTCTCGTCCGAGTTCTCGACCAGCTGGTGGACCGAGAGGGTGGCGTTGTAAGGCTCGACAACGGTGTCGGAGACCTTGGGCGAGGGGACGACGGAGAAGGTGGCCATCATGCGGTCGGGGAACTCCTCGCGAATCTTGGAGATGAGCAGGGTACCCATACCAGCACCGGTACCGCCACCGAGGGAGTGGGTGATCTGGAAGCCCTGGAGGCAGTCGCAGCCCTCGGCCTCGCGGCGGACGACGTCGAGGACGTTGTCGACGAGCTCGGCACCCTCAGTGTAGTGACCCTTGGCCCAGTTGTTGCCGGCACCGGAGGCACCGAAGACGAAGTTGTCGGGGCGGAAGAGCTGGCCAAAGGGACCGGCACGGACGGCGTCCATGGTACCGGGCTCGAGGTCGACGAGGACGGAGCGGGGAACGTACTTGTTGCCGGAAGCCTGTCGACAAGAGACGTGTCAGCCAAGATGCCACCATGCTACCATGCCACCATATCTCGACAAAACGTACCTCGTTGAAGTAGACGCTCATGCGCTCGAGCTGGAGCTCCGAGGTGCCGTTGTAGACACCGTTGCTGTCAAGGCCATGCTCGCCAGCAATGGTCTGCCAGAAGGCAGCACCAATCTGGTTACCCTGTTGGATTGAAAAGACGAGAGTCAGTGTTCTGACCGCACGAAAATAGAGCGCGTAATAGGCTGGACAGGAAGAGGTAGAGAGGGGAGGCAAAGAGACGCCATCTCCCTCACCTTCCTGCCGTCCTATTCTTCTTCCAGGGGTGGTATCAACTTACGCACTGGCCGGTCTGGAGGTGAACCTATTTGAGAGGGGACAAACACGTCGTTAGCTAAAGATTCGACTGACGCAAAGCTGCGAGACCCTTTCTCGTTTCTCCTCGCCTGTTCCCCCCCCCTTTTTGGGTTGGAATGTTGACTTGGGTGCACGTTGGCCGGCGGGGTAATAGAAAAGAGGTCAGGGGACAGGAGAGGAGGGGAAAGGAAACGCGTCAGAACAGAGGGGTTCTCGACTTACAATCTCACGCATATTGACGGTTTATTTTGGGGTTTGAGGAGTATGAGGAGGGGAGGACTAGGAAAATGTTTGGATGGCAGAGAAGAAGGAAGAGGAGATTCCTGGAGAAGCTGTGCTGAGAGCCTTGAAGGATGTATGGACTTTTGAGAGAGGGGGGGGGGGTGCGTGTGCGAGGGAGAAGGGAGGGAAAGAAAAGAGTGGATGTTGATTTTTGCCGGGGGAGAGGCCAAAAGGTGGGTTTGGACTGGGTGCTGCCCGGTGGAAATTGGTGCTCACCGCCACTGGTAGACCACCCCGGCCACCTGCCGGTTGCCAACCGTCGAGCTGCTTTCCAGGGGAGAGGAGAGCCGGGATACGTACCCGCCTAGCTGTTTACTTCTACCGTTTCCCGCTGTACTATCATTACAATTTTTTTTCCTCATTGCTCCTTTTCCAACGTTTCCCCCCTCCTCCCCGGTAGGACAGCTAGTAATAATAGCAGAAACGGCCCAAAGCCAGTCAAAACAGCAACAGCTGTCGACTGTGCGCCAGCTGTCTTGACCGAAAGCGGGTCTCGTTGACGCCTGAGTGGGAAAGCATTGATTATTATTGTTTTCTGTCCAGTCGCTAGGCTTCTAGCACCAAGCTCTAGGCTCCAGTTGGGTTTATTAACTAGGCAGGGGCAATGCGGGACTCTCTATGCCCTTTCCCTCTGGCCTCATCTCTCCGCTCTACGAGTATTGTAGTACGAGTATGTGTAATCTGTACATATCAGTCTGTACTCGGAAATGTACTCGTACCGCTCTTGCCTTCTCTGTACATTTTACGACTACAGATTACATACATTGACCATTGTTTACTCCCGGCTACGCATCTCAGATAGGAAAGGTGCCATACGACGCCGACGTTGCTTGCCACTGCACTTGACATCAGGGGAGAGAGAAGGAGATGGAGAGAAGGCATCATGGCAAGGCAGCAAATATTAGATCTGTGTGTGTGTGTGTGTGTGTGTGTATGTACGCGTGTCTAATAACCTGTACGTCTGTGCTGTCCTGTCCCTACCTGCAGCTGCCCCTGCAGGATTGGCGGCCGGAACAGATACACATGTCATGTCACTCTCCCCCCCCTCTCTCTCTCCCTCTCGTCCTTTCCTCTACCAGTACGGATTACGGGTACGGAGTATTATTATTACATGTAAGCTAAATCCCTGGTTCCACCTCCCCCCTCCCCCCCCCCTTGGTTGCTCTTCACCGGTGGAGGGTAATCTGTAGTGCGTTGCAAGTGGGTCCCCTCATCTGAACTAGCCAGGTTTATCCCAACGGAAGATTTACTTTTTCCGAGAGACGATACTCGGATAATACTCGTATAGGCACTCTTATTGCTTGTACAGACTAATCTGTACTCGTACAGATTATTTAACGCGATGAATGGGCGGGACAATTGCCAACCACCGGGGGGGAAGGGAAGCTACATACGAGCACAGAGTTATTATAAATCACGTTCTGATGAACCCGAGACGGAATTCAGCCTACTCTCGACCCACACAGCCTTATTATTACCTTGGTCGTTGTCACTCGCGATGTCCAATTTTGCCTCCATACACATGCTGGAACAAACAGCTGAGTCATCAGTCGGAACAGGTTGTTCCGGCCCGATCGGCAGTCCCCTAGCGATAAGAGGCTACTTTTACAGTCACGATTACCCCTATGTATAGTTATCATCAACAACATCAAAATATAACATCAAATAACCCCAATTTCTCAAGTGTGATCTGTTTGATGTAATCATCCAATCAATTTCACCGGGAAATCCCTGTTCCGATCCGATAACTCGGGCGAGAATTTTACCGATATTATTCCGCCGCTCCGTCTGACAACACAACGGCACACGTGATGCTGTTTGGCATGGACCACTGAGACCGACTAATACGATGGTACTCGTACAAGGTTTGTCAATATATTCCCTTACCCAGCTAGCAATTTACGGTGTGCGGTGTAATTCATAGCTTGATTTCTTTTTTCTTTCTTTCTTTCTTTTTTTTTTTTTTTTTTTTTGGGGGGGGGGGGGGGGGGGGGGTGTTCTCTTAACATCCGTTCGATAGATATATGTGTGTATATATATATATATATATATATAATCTGTATGTCTCCCTCTGCAACGACCCAATCAGTGAGCCTTGACCACGCCGGCAGCGTCAGCCTGCGCAGCGATCCTCTTCTTGTATTGGTTGACATCGCCATCAAACTTCTCGACGGTACCCTGGTCGCACACCCAGAGCGACGTGCACACGGACTGCAGCATGGTCACGTCGTGAGACACCATGAGCACACCGCCCTCGAACTTGCGGAGGGCGTCGGCCAGGGCGTCCATGGCCTCGATATCGAGGTGGTTGGAGGGCTCGTCGAGGACGAGGATGTGGGGGTTCGTGAGGGCGAGGCAGGCGAACGCCACCCTCGACTTCTGACCACCGGACAGGAGGGCCATCTTCTGCAGGCCCGTGGTCCCCGTGATGCCGAAGGCGCCCAGCTGGCGGCGGTACTCCTCGTCGGTGCGGCCCGGGTACGTCTTCGCCATGAAGCTGACGGCGCTCATGGTCATGTCGAGGGCGTCGACGTGGTGCTGGGCGAAGAAGCCGATGCGCAGTCGCGGGTTCGTGGTGACGATGCCCGACAGCGGCTCCAGGCGGCCGATGAGGAGGCTGAGGACCGTCGTCTTGCCGGCTCCGTTGGGGCCGACGATGCCGATGCGCGAGTCCAGCTGCACGTCCAGATCGACGTTGCGCAGCAGTATGTTGTCCTTGGAGTAGCCAAACGTGACGCCCGACATCTGCACGATGGGCGGCGACATCTTCTCCACCTCTGGGAACTTGAAGTGCACGCTATACTCAGCCTCAGGCACCTCGAGCACCGGCATCTTCTCCAGCTTCTTGATGCGCGACTGGGCCTCCGACGACTTGGCCGCGTTGTACCGGAACTTGTCGATGAAGGCCTGCAGGTGCGCCCGCGCCGCCATCTGGTTCTCGTACTCCTTCTTGGCCACCTTGAGCCGCTCCTCGCGCGTGGCGTAGAACGAGTCGAAGTTGGCCCCGCGGTAGTAGTCCAGCCGCTCCGAGTGCTGATGCACGATGTCCGTCGCCACCTCGTTGAGGAAGGCCCTGTCGTGAGACACGACCAGCACCGTGCTCGGGTATGTCTGCAGGTAGTTGGCCAGGAACGTGATGGACGGCACGTCCAGCATGTTGGAAGGCTCGTCCAGCAGCAGCAGATCGGGCTCGCAGAACAGGGCACGCGCCAGCGCCAGACGCATCCTCCATCCACCGGAGAAGGTCTTGGTCGCGAACTGCTGCCTCTCGGTCGAGAAACCCAGGCCGGCCAGGATACTGGCTGCGCGGGACTCGGCCCTGTCGGAATCCATCTCAGCCAGCTTGGACTGCACGTCGCCCAGCTTGGTATCGTACGTCTCGCGCTCCTTGTCAAGACGCTCCGCATCGACCGATGCGTCGGCCACCGTGGCTCGCTGGGCTTCGAGAGCCGTGAGCTTCTCGTTGAGGGTCTGGGCAGGAGGTCAACACTCGTTCTGTATTTTTCTCTCTTTCCTTTATATATATATATATATATATATATATATATATTTCCTTCTGCAATGAGAGAGACAACGATATCGGGAAAAACTTACATCCTGCTCCTTGAGAAGCACTTTTCTCCAGACATCTGCATCCAAGACAGCTTGAATAGCAGGAGTGTCATCACCAGTGATCTAGGGGGTTGAAATGTCAGCTCTTGTGCTCCTCTCTCCCTCTCTCTCTCGCTCTCTCGCTCTCTTCTCTAATAGAGTAGAGTAGATTGGGGGGGACAAGGCGTGGGATATGTTCAAGAGAAAGGAAAGAAAAACCTACCTCTTGCTCGACGTGAAGAATAGAGATATGCGTAGGAATAGGAACTTCACGCCTAGCCAGGGCACGGAGCAGGGTAGACTTTCCGATGCCGTTCTTTCCGACGAGGCCGTAGCGGTGGCCGTAGGCGAGGGTGAGGGTCGTGTCGGCGAGGATGCGCAGACCGTTGATGGAGACGTCGATGTTGTCGATCTTGATGTCCTTTGTCTTGTTGGCGTTGTCGGAGCCGGTCTGCAGCGGGTTGACGGCCATGTAGAACTCCTCGTACGACTCGGTGGACTCGGGCAGGTTGAGCAGCTTGGAGGCCTCGTACTCGACCGTCTTGAACGTCTTCTTCTGCTGCTTGGCTGCAATCTTCCGCTCGGCCTTCTCGAGCTTCTTGCGATCGACCTTGGACTCGACCTTGCGCGCGTTGGCCGACTCGAGGTCGACGCCGCCCGAGGCCACGGCCAGCGTCGACGACATGTTGCGCTGCGCGCTCACCTGGATCGTCTGGTCCAGCCTCCGCACCTCGGACGGCCCGATGCGCTGCCCGCCGTTGGCCTCGGCGTACCGGTCCACCCACTTAGCCACCAGCTGCGACACCTTGGCCTTGACCTGCTCGTCCGGCTCGCCGGCCGCCGATACCAGTATCTCCGTGATGGCCGCCGCCGCCTCTACCAGCGGTGAGGTGGTGGCCGATCCGGCACCGCCCTCGTTGTTGGTCCCGTCCTCATCTTCCGTCCACTGCCTGGATGCGTGGTTGAGATAGCCGGCCGAGTAGTCGGATATTACTGGGTCAATGTTGGGGAGGACGGTCCTGATGTCGGCGTCCATGGTGGTGGCGGTAGTTTCTCTCTCTCTCTCTCTCTCTCTCTCTGTCTGTCTGTCTGTCTGCCTCTGTCTCCCTCTCTCAAGGTTGAGATGTTGTGTCGAGAAATGAAAGCGGGGGTAGCCTACACACTGTTTCTCGAGGCTAGAGGACGGGCGTGCATCAGCAGGTGATTATATATTTTACGATGTTCAGCCCTGGGCTCCCTTCGGCTTGGAAATTGTCTGAGAAGCCGTTCAACCTCGAAAATCATCTGCCCCGCCAAAATTGAAGTTGAAGTTGACTGTCGTGGCTTTGCACTTTTCCGTGGGGCGCCACAACTGCCCCACCTTTGACTGAGAGCAAACGATGGCAATGGCAATTGAATACCCTGTACCAGTCGCCGTATTACTTTGTGGGATTTTACTCTGAGCTGACAATCGTCTACCACGTACTCTATACTGCATCTGTTTATATGCATCTCATTTCTTTACCATGGTCAATGTGTAGACTTATAGCTGCGTGTATGTGTCAAGGATTTCTTGGTATATGCTCCTCTCTTTGTATCTGTAGTCTACCTGTATCTGAAGGTAGATTTTTTTATGTTCACAAGTTTTAACATTCCTCTGCTGCGATATATATACATATACAGATCTGTACATATACGTACGAGCCGTTATTACCGACAAGATATGAGCACACATTCATTGCTTATCACAAGTAGTCTCAAGGTATACAGAGAGACACATGTATTGATTCCTAAAACTGCTAGTTACCACTGCGGTACTACACACACCCGAGCGCTGTCTACCACACCTACTCCCTCCGAGGCTGTATCATGATATCTACAACCAACAGCATCAAAGTTCGATCCCATCAGTAGCAGCTGCCCCCGTCCAAGGCGGTGAAGCACGCAGTGCAATGTTACCCTCTCTGCAACAGATTACACCAAGTGAGCAACTCCCAGGGATCTCCCCTCTTTCTTCTTCTCAGCTAGACCCATCGTCGGCGACTAACGATCCTGGCAGAGCTTAATTGGCCGACGCGTACGGAGACCTCTGCTACATTGGCGACTGAGCTTTCTGTACTATGGATGTTATGCGCATGCTGTGGTGCGTGATGATTACTAGATATTATTACTAGTGATGTAATAGTATGTGCGCTTATGTACATGTATGCCATTGCTCGGTGGATTACTTGCCCCGTTGATGATGCTTGGGCTCTCGAAAACTTGAAAACTCTCGTACACGCGCCGTGCCAATTCGCGTCTCCGGTACAGTAGCTTTTGGTATTGGCTGATCCGATGGGAGATGAGAACTGGGGGGGGTTGTTCATGTTTACGTTCGTCGCCTCATTCTTCTTACAAGTAGAGTTATTACGAGAATCCGTACATGTATCTACGACCTGTACTTGCTTTTGTGTGTGCAGGGCCTTCCCGATTCTTTGATATGATTGATGAAAGTCCTTCATGCACGATGTTCGTAAGCGCCAGAGGCATCGGGGAGACTCGAGAGGGGAGCACGAGTAAGAGAGAGAGGACGGAGAAGAAGGAGACGACAGGTAGGTCGGATGCTTGTTTTACCATAATCCAAAGTAATAAAACTCTTCTCATCCCTTGGGATCCAAGTTGCCGGTTCGGGAAAAGAAGGGGAAGAGACAGAGTACTCGCACGGCAGTGTGTACATTGTATGTAATTACGCAAGGCATCGCTATTCGGAACACATGTACGCGAACAGAGCGGGGTTTCGATGTGAGATGGTCTGATGGATGGATTCACTGGTTCTCGCCCCCCTTCTCTTCGACATTGGCCCTCCCTTGGCGCGTTGGGGCTGACTTGCGTGTGTGTGTGTACTCGTATGTGTGTGTGTGGGTACTGCTGAACTACTGATACACCGTAAACCGACTGCTTGGTAAGACTTTTGACACTGGAGGAGTTGAGAGTGAGAGTGAGAGTGAGAGAGAGAGAGAGAGAGAGAGAGAGAGAGTTGATTTGATTTATTACCATCTTTCTACCGACTGAAGTTGAGCCCGACGGCTCTACATCATGTTCTGGACTCATCATTCTGGGGTGTGTTTCAGAGGTCATGTGCCGTTCAAGCCATGTCTTCTGTTCTCTTCAGAAAGTTTGAAAACAACGAGAGAAGAGAGTCGTCAATCCTCTTGTCAACAGAACGAAGCTGGGAACTGAACGACAAGGATGTTCTACTCCACACTTTCTGCCTCGGGGAAGAGGCAAATAAGGAAAGGAAAAGAAGAGAAGCCCCTCCGCTCCCTCCCCTCCCCCAGCTGGACAGGGAACATGAGCGCTCTTTGTAAGTTTTATTAATAAGAATAAGGATACTAATAATAACAATAATAGTAATAATAATTTTTTTAAAGAAAAAAAAAAGGTCTCGGCTTCAAATTCTCCCTGGACCTCTTGTGGATCAACAAACATCGTGACGTGATGATTGAACCGACGGAACCGCTCTTTGTCGGGTTACTCTTGTCAAGCTATTAGCTATTAAGCACACGCCCACGCCCTCTTCTTCATAACCCGCAGCAGCAGCAGCTTGTATTGATATTGATACTTATCAGTGAGGCCACTTCCAGGCGGGTCGAGTGCATATATCTGTAATCTGTACACTGTATTGTTACTAGTAGCAAGTAGCCGTAGCAAGTAGCCGCAGCAGCAGTAATAATACTCCGTAGTCTATACGACGTAATAAGACACAAGAAATAAAACCGTACAAGTACTTGCTCCTACCGACAAAGTTGCTTTTTCCTTCTTCCCATGAAGGCGGATCCTCATAACCACGCGTCGCTGGTGGCTGAAGACGTGATCGCTCTCTTCTCCCTCCCCGACTGGCTTCCTGAATCACTCTTTGAATGGGCCTGAACAGTTGCTTAGTAATAGTGTACCTGTTCTCTGTAGAACTGCCTGAAATCCCCCCCCCAACAACACACACACCTCCCCCCTTCTCGAAAGTGAATAGGAAGGAAAAACAAGAAGCATCCCGGTGCTGACTGCAGGAGGAGAACAATGAGGCCTCGAGAAAATACTCCGAATATGGACAAAAGGTTATTTGATATTACATCTAGCGGCGACGGAGCTGATGAACCCCCCTTCTCTCTTCCTTTCCCCTTCGCTGAGAGTTATTACCTCGTCTATACTCGTACACGGTATAGATCCCTGCATACATCAATAACACAGACTATATTAGTAGCCGGGCCATCTTGCCCCCCCCCCCCCCCCCCCCCTTCTCTTCTCTGTCTCTCCCTCTCTCTCTCTCAAAAACCATGACGCGCATCTTGGCAATGTGGCTTTTCGTTTCGGTAAGCGGAGGGGAGAGGGAGAGAGAGAGTGACACTAGAAGAAAGAAGGAAAACGCCTAGACGAGTTCTCTAGAGACGATTCGTCATAATTCACCCACATCTTCTCTGTACCTGCTTCCTGCTGCTACCGGTGTGGCTGAACGATAAAATAGTAGTGTCACCGACCCATGTCTCTCTGATTGTCTCCTCGTCCTATTGATGGGCGGTATAACCGTGATTGATAGTGATACGTGCAGTGCATGCGTCTTACCAGTACCCGTATGCTGTGCACCTCTCTTCTTGTCGCACATGGACGGCCGACGGACGGTTGATGGGACAATGGAACAATAAAACCCCTGCGGCAAGGTGGAGAGATTTCAAGTGCTGAGAGAGGTTAGAAGTCAAAGGCCGAAAAAAAAAGAGTCTGAAGAGGGCAAAGGCCGGCCGGGGACGGACTGGGGGGGCCTCTGTTTCTCATCTATGCGGCCCGCCTTTGTCTCGCCTTGTTCCTGGGCCCGTATTAATAAATGCCCTTTTTTATTCTCCGGTCGGCGGTAATCTCTCTCTCCCCCTCTTCCCCCTCTCCCTCTGCGTGTGTGTATCAGTATTAGGTGGTGGCAGTACTCGTATTGAGAGGAGAGCCTTGGTCTGATCCGTCTCTGCGTACAGATGTACTCGGTAATTAATACTAGATGCGAGGGGATCAAACAATGGTAGGGACATGGATCAGATGGTCATCTCGTATTGCGGAATAACAGCAGTCCTCGGCACTATACATATGTGATATAGCAGACGGAACAATACTCTCTCTGTATCTGTTATTGTCGTTATCATTACTCGTAAAGGTAGGCAGGTGTCTGTGCTTGGTTGATGGCGACGGCGATGATGACTGTGGTATTGATGACGATGATGGCCAGAATTGTTGTGTCAGGCATTATCAGCATCAGCGATATCCGCAGCAGTCATCTGACGAGCAGACGCAGGCGAGTGATGATGGTGCCGCAGCACATGTACGATTTGGAGAGAATACTCGTATACTCGTAGTAACCTGTAATCTGCATCTGTACTCGTAGCGATAATGATCATCTCAGGTAGAGTTCATTTCAACGTACAGAGAGGTCCGTGGGGAGGAAAGGTAATATCTCGTAGTGTACCGATTCATAAGCAGTATCCGAGTCGGTAACGGAGTAGAAATACGAGTGCTCGTACGTATTCCTGAATAGAGGATTGTTGTTGCTGTTGTTGCTATTGCTGCTGTTGTTATTGCCTGCTGCTGCTGCTGCTATTGTTGTTGTTATTGTTGTTGTTGTTGTTGTTGTTGTTGTTGTTGTTGTTGTTGTTGTTGTTGTTGTTGTTGTTGTTATTGTTGTTGTTATTGTTTGTTGTGTTGTTATTATGTGTTGTGCGTGGAATAATAGATGGCATAAATAACATTGAGAATTGAGGAGTGTGCATAAAAAAATACCAACAAAAAAAAAACAAGATTCCCGAGTAATGCGCCATCCAACCACCGAGGTCCACTATAACATAATACTACCGAGGGCACTATAACCATGTAACCATAGTGTCTAGGTGGGATGTAACCGCCGAGAGCACTATAATCGCAGCAGCATATAGCTACCGAGAGCACTATGAGTACAGCTGTGCACACTGTCCTGTCCACCCTGCAGGTAGGGTTCGGCCACATAGATGATCAAGTACCTACAGCCACGCCCGGGCCAGCAACGCCATGTACGCCCTAAACAACCTGCAAACACCATGTACAGAGCCTGAAGCACTAAATTACAGGCTAATCCGATCCCCTGCCTCGTTCCTCCGAGTCCCACCAGCGCGCGTCCGGATTCTGACCTCCGCAATCTCTCTCTCTCTCTCCCTCTCTCTCTCTCTGAGTGTCTCTCTCATCAGTCTCTGAGACACTGAGACACTGAGTCTCTCTCTCTCTCTCTCTCTCTTATTCTCATCGTGTCTCTCTTTCCTTTCTTCCTGTTTCTCCCATCCTTCCCCCCCGGGAACGCAACGAGGGGCACAGTTCATCACCCTTTTTCTTCTTCTTCCTTTCTTTCTATTTTGGGTCTCTCTTTAGGTTTCTTTTCTCTTCTATTTCTTATTCTATTCTCCCCTCCCCCCCCTCTTCTCCTGGCTCTTCGTAACGCCAAACGCCAAAAACGGGTCTTCTTCTGTTATCCTCTCAGCGCGCGCGCGAACCCACGGAGAGAGCAATCTCGAAAAGAGGGACCCTCTTCTTCCATCCAACTCCCCCCCTCAACCGACACGCGAGAACGAACCACGACGCCGGGAGACGAAGAGAGAGTCGACAATGTATTCACCGGAAGCATCGAGCATCGTCGTCGACCTCTTGTATTAGCATGACTGTCCATCTCTGCCATCTGATATAGTGCCCCCCCCCCCCCTCTTCTCGTCTCTCTTTTGCAATCATGCAGACCGTCCCGAGTGTAAGCCTCCGAAACGAAGCCTTTCCTCTTCTTGCCTTGGTACCGAAACCATTGCAACACCCACCTTTCCTTTTCTTCCTCCGCTCTCCTTCCCCCCTCCTCACTTCACATCTTCACAATCTTTGACTTGACTGCCTGCTTGTAATTCATGAGTAAATCATCAGAGCTCGCTTTACACATGTCAATTTCTCTTCTCTTCTCTTCTCTTCTTTGAGCTTGTGCTCGGCATATCAAGTCACTCCTGTTCACCCTTCCTTCTCTCTCTCTTTTTCCTTCTCTGGTACTTGCTCATCTGCCTTCACCTGGCGCGTTCGTCGCTCTCTCTTACCACCAATCATGCCCCTCCTTTTTCGCCAACACGTCTCCCCTCTTCCCCTCGTGATCGAGCAGACAAGCCATTAGTGCGCGCGCGCGTGTTCAGTAGGATAAAGAAGACTGATTATCCTCTCTCTGTTTAGCTGGTCGGGTCCGGTACTGCCATTGCTACTGCCACCACCGGTCTAGTCATTGGCGAGGCAGCTGATTCACCCGACTTCTTCTTCGCCCTCGACCCTCCTTCTTCGCATCCGCCCTCCACCTCGGCTGCAGTCGCTGTGCCTTGCCTCGACCATCGCAGTGCTTATTCCTACCAGACTCTCCACCACCCGCCTTCGAGACCGAGCACAAGTCTGGCCACCCTTACCGACAACGAGCAGAACTTGCAGAACCACCATCGTACACTCCCCCCTACCCCTCCAGTGTCCCGACCACCCCTGTCGCGCTACCAGAGGCCCAAGACGTCCCAGTTCACCACCCCTCGCCTTTCCACTAGGCGACAGTCTCTCTCCAAGTACGACGAACCTGCCGTCGGTCCCGCCGCGGCCGACGCCGTCCGCTCCTCCTTCTCCTCTACCGGTTCCTCTTGGGTCAGGAGGCTCTCTCTTCGCCCTTCGTCGCAGCACGGCAGCCCCCGATCCAGTGTCGGCCCTGACTCCATCGCCTTCTCCCACGGGTCTGCAGCACCCGTCCTCTCCCGTCGCCGCTCTCTCGTGCCTCCTCCGACCCCCAACAAGCTCGTCAAGCGCTCCCCCCCCACACCTGGCTACCTCCACCATCACACCCCGACAACTGCCCGCCCGGGTACCAAGTCCAGGACTCACCTTCCATCGCTGCGACGGCCAGCCACGAGCCACCAGAGGACCGCCACCCTCCAGAGACTCCAGGAACCCCTGTACAGCCCGATATCCCCGCTGTCTCCCACGTCTCCCGCCATCCCCGCGACGCCCGCCGACCCCGACGACAGGGACTCTGCTGCTGCTGCTGCTGCTGCTGTCCCAGCTGCCCATGGTCTTCTCCCTTCGGCTCTGGAGAAGGATAGCCGGTCTCGGGTGAGGTCTGAGTGGACGTCATTCTTCCACTCCAGAATCGCTGGCGGTCAAAGCGCAAACCGGATCGTCGACCTCGACTCGCAGAGCCAGACACGCGACCCCACGCCGAAGCGCCTCCGCCTCTTCGCGAGGCATCCTCAGCAGAGGCCATATCTGGTCAAGCCGTGCATGGTGTCCTTGGCGCCCCAAGACAGCGCCTCCGCCTCCAATATGAGGCAGACGTCCCAAGGAGCTGAGCCGATACCTCCCCTGTCGTCGTCTGCCGGTAAACCCCACCAGGGTCATCGTGCTCGTCGGTCACTCTCCATGAGCTTGTCGTCAGCGACCGACTGGATGGCTAGGACCTCGGGCAGCCTGCGCCGCTCGAAGCGCCGCGACTCGCACCCGACAACCCCCGGACCCACCTCCCGCCACGTCGTCTCCGACCCCCTCACCCCTATAGCCTTCCAGCGAGACCCAGTGGGTCTCGCTGCCCCGAGGGCCGTCACCTCGCCTGATGACTTTGCTGTTGCGCCGGTACCCATACCCGATGATGGCCCCTCATCAGCCCCCCGCCGGCAGCCCCGGAGGAAAAAATCGTCATCGCCCCTTCGACCGCTCTACAGTCCCTCAAACGACTACGACGATGAACTGGTACGGCCAAAGTCGTCTGCCGGTGCCGCCGGCCTGCCCCTGCGCCAGAACCAACCCTCGGGAAGCTCGACGAGTTCTGCCGCTCTGTCGCATCTGAGGACCCATCGCCGCGAAAGGTCGTCTACCCTGGATGGCTCCGAGAGCGAACTACGTTACTTCACCTCTGGCGACGAGGACACGGACTTCAAGAGTGATACGCTGTTTGACTCACTCCGTACCGGTACTTCGGGCCGTGTACGCACCGTGGAGACGCCCCTGGACTCCATGTACGACGAGTCACCCCCGAGCACAGCCGGCCGTGGCCGAGACAAGCGCCTCTCCATCCAGGATATGCTTGGAAAGGACTGGAACCAGGATGATAGGATCCTCGAGGAGGATGACGAGAGCGCCCAGACGCCCAGACGCACCGCTGCGCTGGGTGGCGCCACCCTGTCGATCCCGGCTGCAGAGCCTGGTCTCGGCACCGACTCGGGCAGCCGCTCGACCAAGGGCCCCCCCCGGTTCTCCATGGACGATGACTTCGAAGACGACTGGGGGCAGGACCATGACGACCTTCCCAACGCCCTCTCGCCGCCCTCCAAGACCAGCATGGTCAACCTGAGGGGCGTCAACCCCAACGTCCGCCTCTCCATGGCCACCAGTATCTCTAGCTTCGCGGACTCGACTCACGACCAACGCAGCGAACGTCCGCTGAGCAGTCTGTTTGACTGGAGCGAAACTCCGGCCCACGACAAGCAAGAGCACAGCGGCAGGTCCCGCCCCAAGACTGCCTACGCCAAGCAGGAGACGGACGCGAGAGGCGGCCGCTCCGTCAACCGTAAGGGCCCGGCACCCGCACACGTGCGCAGCCAGAGCGTTCCCATCGTCAACGACGGCCCAGAGGAGTCCAAGCCGGCCGGTTCCAAGTACGGCACGTGGGGTATAGGCGCCAAGACCATCAGCGAGGACTGGGACGACGACTTTGAGTTTGGCGGCGGCGACGTCGACGACGACAACAAGGACGATGACCGCCTCTTTGCCGTGCCCGAGTCCATCCAGGCCTCGCAGCCCAGCGTCCGCGCCCACTCCGGCCAGATCCGCGAGCTGTCGCTGCTCGTCAACGACCTGCGACGCCTGTGCCGCCACGGCCGGGACCTCGACCTGCTCCACGGACCCCAGGCGACCCTGTGGAAGGAGGCGGAGGGCATCATCGCGCTCGCATCGCCCGATGACGACTCCCTCGAGAGCGATCGCGAGACGACGTCATCGATCGACCTCGATGCCTTTGACGCCCACGACCGACTACCCGACGATGACTTCGACTCGGCCTCGATCGACAAGCTGGATGCTGCCCTCGACGGCCGGGAACCGGCCATGTCCAAGACGGCTGTGGTGCGGGACCGTCCGTCGCCGCGCCGCCGGTCCGTCTTCTCTCCCGACGACGACATCTTTGGCGGTGGCAGCCTCCCCGCCTCGGAATCGGGCAACGGCAGCGGCAACGGCAACGGCAACGGCAACGGCAAATACGGGAGAAGCAGCAGCCGACCGAGCCGACCGCGGACACCGGAGTCAAGACTGAGCAAGCCGCCGCCCGACGTCAACGGCGTGGTCCGGTCCGTGGTAGAGGTGATGCAGCAGCGGACCATGACGGAGGCGCTGCTCGATGGCCACAGCAACATCGGCACGCACCACCACCAGCACAGCAACAAGAAGATGCACTTCGACACCAGCAGCCTCCGCCTGCTGGTCAAGAGGGCAGCCGACCTGCGCGACCTGCTCTCCGAGGCTGTCAGACGGGCCGACCAGATCACCCAGAGCCCGATGAGGACCCCCCGACGCGAGAGGCACCCCGACTCCAGCCCGGCCTTTACCAAGGTGTTTGACGACCCGGGATCGAGTCCGCCCCGGCAGAGGGTCAGGAGCCGTGGGAATACCACCATGGTGGAGGGGTCGCCGGAGAATTCTCCTTCTTCAGGGATGGGCAGGAGGATGATGATGGTCTGATAACTGGACTGCTGGACTTTGAGCCATGTCCGCAACCCCATCTGGAAAGTTCTTCGACTATGAACCACCTCTTGGGAATGATTCTGATACGTCAACACGGAGCAAAACTGTACAACAGAAAAAAAAACCGAAGGACAGGCCACAAAACGTCAGCCATTACAAAACAGCAACAGCAACAGCAACAGTAACAGGAACGTCTTTTCACAAAACGAAACAAAACAAAGAAGAAGAAAGAAAAAAAAGAGCCAACCGAGGGTTTCAGGTTGGCCGGTTTGCATAGCGACGGTCTTGTACAATTTTCCTTTCACTCCTACATTTCTTGGTCATTATATTCTCTCGTCCCCTCTTATCTCTTTCCGTGGCAAAAGCCATGATGAACACAGCCGGACATCCAACACCAACAAAAACCACGAAAAAAAAACCAAAGTCTATCTTCCTTGCTTTCACTCTGTTTGTCTCTTGTTTTCCCCCCTTTTTCACGACCTGATGAATTTCCTTTTCTTCTTCTTTTTCTTCTTTTTTTCTTTTTTTCACAAACTAGATCTGACAGTTGTTTGGAGGGGAGTGTCGTGTTGGAAGAAAAACAAGGGCCGTGCCATGTTTGTTTTTTTTCCTCATCTTCCCCCCCCCCCTCTTTTTCTTCTCTTCTTCTTTTCTTTTTTATACTTTTTTTTATTACTTTTTCTGAAGTGACCTCATATTTCTGGGTCAAAGCAAAGCAGAGCAGATCAAAAGCAAGAAGGGAAGCTGTGCAGCAAGAGAGCGAAAGGGAGAACGAGTAATGGATGGGAACGGGAATGGTTTAGGATGAGAATGAGGATGAGGATGAATCGTCAAGAGGAAAAGGGGTGGATGTCAGTGTCACCTCCACTTTTTCTTCTTGTTCTGCTGTTCACACAGAGTATTGATGAATTGCATGGAATACAAAGCATGAACATGTACAGAAGTCTGCCTATCGCATCGCATCGTGATCTTGATGACTGCTCGCGTCTTGGGGGGTTGGGGTTGGGGATTGGTACCCATGACATCATTTCTTCTGATGTGTAATCATACACAAA